TGCAACTATTGCGAATCGAGAACGGGTACAGGGCCTATTTTGTGTGGTGATCGTGAGGTTCTTGTGCTGCTGGGTTTGATAGACCCCGGTCGAGGGTGGCAGGGGGAGTTGTCGTCGTGGGCGGGCTAGAGGGCCGTGATTGGGTCAGGATGTTGCGGTGAGGCGCCGATGGGGTCTCGTGGTGCTGCAGCTGGGACCTGGGATGTCTTGCTGAGGAATGGAGGGGGATGTGAGATGTATCGATCGATGGAGTGTATGGAGGCGGGCGGCGTTGGCAGCTGCTGGTTTGACCAAAGCCCTCTCTCTCTTCTCAGTCTTGCTTCTGATAATGAGACTGTTGTTGATATTCTTTCTTCTTCATTGCCCGCCAGGACTTTGCAGCGTGGGGTGACGGCAGAAGGGGGGTCGTCCGGAGAGAGACAGACGGTGGAGGGAGGGCGCGGGATGGAAATATGTAGGTACAGACACCGCCTCGAGAAAGAAGCTTGGAGTTGTTTGGTTGGGTTGATCGCCGTTTATGCGTGGGTGGATGATGTGGCTGCTGCTATGCCTGCCGGGATGAGCTGCGAGGTTATCCCCCGGTACGGATTGGCTTTTTTGTCTTTCTCGTTGGCGTCGGTGGGTTAGGGGTGGTGCTTGTTGTTAAGAGTTGGTTTATGCGGGAAGCCCACTGCGACGATTGAACAATGCCAATGTCTTTCCCGTCTTGTCAAGGTCGGAAAATGTGTGCTGGGCCTGGCAGCGGAGACGGGTTGAAGGGGTGAGGGATGTAATTCTTGTAGATGGCTGGGAAGGTTTATAGGGCGACAAGTAGCCGTACTGGGATCAACGGAGCAGAGAGAATGAGAGGGAGGTAATGCAGAGACCGCGTACGGGACACTACTGAGTCCTTACTGAACGGTCTGAAGAGCAGCAGGGCAAGCCGGCGGCCAGAAGATCAGACGAGGAGGAGGGGGGGGGGGGGTGTGAAGTCCAAAGTCGTGTGCTGCTGCGGGACGGGAGGGGGGTAGTAGACAGGCTGCAGGTGCAGCAGGTGGCCAGGTGGGCGAAGGGCGGTTGTAACTTGTTGATGAGACGACAAGCCGCCGATGTCAAGAAGCTCCAAGTTCTAGATTCCGAGGTCCCAAGGCTGTCTCAATATGCATGTCTCAAGACCACACAAGTGTAAGAGACAAGTTGCGTGAGCGGACTGGGCAGGGAAACACGGATCGAAGATGAATGAGCAGAAATAAAGTGGCGCGGTGATATATCGGGAATTAGAAGTGAACAGCGGCCGAAGAAGTTCGAGTCTGCAGCGCCTTTGCACAGTTTTTACCGGCACCAGGTCCCGATCGACCTTTTCTTCAGACGCAGGTTTGTCCTTTGACAAGAGAGCGGGAGAAAACCGAGGAGGGTAGAAGCCTGTACGCCTACTACAGAGAAGAGGGGGAGGGGCAGAGGCCAAAGGACAGGAAAGGAAAAGGGAAAAGGGCCTTTCGTGTCGCAGAGTTTCGAAACTTGAGACGATGATGTAGTCGCCCGGCGATGCGCTACACGCTAAGAGATAATCCCAGCGATAAAAACCGCATCTTTGGGATGAGATGAGAGAGCGGTACCTAAGTGCTAACTTGGACGGTTTGGAAGAAGCAGCGTTAAAGGCGAGCCACCGGCGACGGACTGGAGTCGAGTTGAGTCTAGAACCTCTGGGCGTTGTGTTGCCCTCCAGGCCTCTTGACGCAACACGGTGGAGATGATAAAGATGGGGGAGGCGAGTCACAGTGGGTGGGCACTTGGGAAGCAAAACAGTAACACAAGAGACTTGCAGAGGCACAGAATGTCCGCTTCCAGCATGCAGGTGGTAGTGAATTTTGTCCTCTCGCCCGCTGCTGGCGGGAGGCGTTGCGCTTTACGGATAGAGGATTCGCGTTGATCTTTCACGTTGTCGTCTCAAGTGGCGTTGCGGCGCCTCTCTGTTCATGCAGCTAATGTTCTTTTTGGGTGAAAGGAGAGAAGACTAAGAGAGGATGAGAGGGGCGCCTGGTGTGTGCTTGTGTGTCATGGTTCGTGTAGTGTGTAGTGTAGGTACCCTTTTCTAGACCGTACTCGGCCTTCATCCGTAAGAGGAACAGCTCAGGACCATAGAGTTGGCCTGCAATTATGGTCTGTTTTGCTATGTACCTATGATGGGCTTCATGCGCGTGGTTGCGTGCAAGTGAGAGACTGCACATGCGAGGCGGCGGATCGCGGAATGGGTCCCTGGCACAAGAGAAGGGTTGTAGGGCCTGAATTGCGTAAAGCGCTGGTGTTGTTGCAGGAAAAGCTCGACAACGTCCGAGGAGGGGGCTTAAATCCTCCCAAGCCTCTCCTAGTCGGAGTAGCGGTGACGCACGAGTGGACGCGTGTGGGATGAGATGGGCAGAGTTGAGGATCGATATGATGAGATTGAGGGGAAATGAATGATACGAGAAAGGTGAGTAACTGAAGATGAGATGAGAACCGCAGTCACTGAAAGAGTGTGTGCTGAACGCGTGTTTGTTTGTGTGATTGAAAGAGGGCATTCAAAGGCTTGACGGAAAAGCCTCCATTTCGAGACGAGGATGGCCCGGCGACGTGGTGTTGATATCACTCCACCTTTGATGCGTTGTTCGACGGCTCGTGGAGATGGAATGAGGGCTCGCTCTTTCACACTATTGAAGAGACGACCTGGGAGCTTGAGACGGCCGGAGAGCAGCCCGAGAGTTTAAGTCGCGGCGACTAGAACAGTAGGACGGCGGCGCTGCTTCTCTAGCTTCACTTTGCTGCGTGAATTGACGGGCGGGAACGGGATGGCGGGCCTTGAATCTCGTCAAGTCATGTCAGTGAGCATATCGTACCCTTTCTCTACCTGAGAACGAGGCACTCCCGGCCGGCATGAGCTTCGGCTCTTTTTCTTTGAGGAACGCTGTTACTGAACAATGAAAGAGCCGAGAGCTGAAAAAGCTGGGCGTCAGTCCTCGGTTGGCGCGACTATGAATGTTTTGTTTGTATTAATCAGACCAGCAAAACGTCTCGCTTCGTTTCTTCTGACGTTTCGGTCCACCCGCTAGCTTCGTTCACTCTTGACAGTGACAAGTACGACGTTTTGACTCTCCCTTGGCTTTGAGTGGGTTGGATGAGCGTGCATTCACGGTCAAGAACGATTAAAAAAAGAGAGTCAAGGCGAGACGCTGTGGGCTGGTCGTGCAGGGCGGCAAGGTTCTCCCCCATGTCAAGAAAGTCTAGAGTTCCCATGGCGGCCCCTCACTGGGATTCTTCCCGCGCAACCGCCGATGTCGCTAGAACGCCGGGCAAGGTCCAGGCATGGAGTTTGGCGGAGCAAATGGTGTGTGCGCGGAGTGGAAGAATGAGTCGAACGTTGTGTGTGTGTGTCACTGTGTTGTGCCTTCACCCCTCCTTTTGGGCTGGCTCTGCTTTCCTGGGGATTTTCGTGAAGGAGGGGCAGAATATTGCGAAATCTCCTGCGAAGGAGGGCTTGATTAGGGCTGGTCTCTTTGGTAAAAGGTTGTAATGCTAAATGCTTAATGAAGGCGTGTGAGTTCAATGCCAGTGAGCATGAACGAATGAATTATGAGGATTGTCTTTCATCCACCCCCATCATCATGCGTCTCTCCGTAAAAGGCAATATGAGCACCTCTTACTTTGGCACTATGTAGCCTTCACGAGACGACGAGGTGGTATCGCGAGGATCACGTATCACAAGCCAAAACAACATGCCCATTGCTCAGAACCATACAGAGGAGGAACATTGGGATGTCAAGGAAATAGTCACATGAGTGAGTGCGCGCAGCAGCTGCAGAGGCAAAGCTGGTGTGAGACTACGGTAGCTAGCACAAGTGTCATTCATTCCCAGCTTGATCTCGACTCTGAGAGCGCGTCTCTTGACGGATGAGAAGCCCCTCACCACGTTACCCAAGGCTCAAATTATTGGACGGGGGTACTATTTCCGTTGCAGGATTCAGCGGCCTTGTCATTCGCGGCGCAGTTGATAGCTCTGCTCTGAGCTTCAGTGGTTGAGAGTGAGACAGGCAGTCCCTGATCTCCTTTTCACATGTCAGACTCATCCTCCATTCACACACGCATTCACTCACACCCTCACACATCACTCACACGCATCTTTGGCTTCTGCTACCACACCACTCCAGGAGTCAATTGACCCTTGGATTGGACGCCGTCGCATCGTCCCTGATTCACACCAGCCCAATCATCGCCTACCGCGTCAACCTGAATGTATGCCGCCTGCTGCGACCTGACGTGCCGACCCAGGAGGAGGTCACCCAGCGGTCATCGTACATACCCGACCCCGTGGGCAGCGATTCGCTTCTCGCGTACATGAATCCATCCATCCATCCCATCTCACTATCGATTGATGGATGGATGGGTAGATTGCCGTCTATCTCGCGCGCCTGAGATGCGACAGGCTCTCATCCTCGTCTGTCTGGAGACCAAGTGCTTACAAGAGATACTTCACACGAGGGCGACGGAAGCCTTTAGGCCAGCCTCAATAATGCGAATGAGAGCATCGCATGAGTCCTCCGTGAACCCACGCAGCTTTGCTCAGCCACCGCACGTTGAAGCTATATCCATGCCGACCAACCTTATTAACCGACTGCAAAGTTTCCAAACGGTCCCGTCAGCACCAATTATCACACGAGGAAATCCAAACCTACAATCTGAATCAGGTCGTTGGATTCCGTTCTTCGTCCGACCCTCCAATTCCGTACGGGTTCGCCAGCGCGGGACCACAGCCACCTACGATCGACCACACACACCCATCCAGACTTCAGTCACTTCCTCCACGAAGCCACCAGTCCCAGAACTGGCAATGATCCTCGAGACCACGAGGTCACGCTCACTGCGACTGGGACTGGGCTGGCCGGACGGGGCTTGAACGGCCATGCACGAACCAGGCTGGGCCAGCCAGAACTTCGCAGCCGCCTGGCCCTGCCGTCTTGAGACATGCGTTCTATTTCCAACTGGCTGTCATGAATCCTCCTGCTGCTGAGCCTGCCACTAACTACTGTGCTGCTGCTGTGTGTTCTGGCGATTCAAACTATTACCAACAGCGTGTGGCTGCCAAGGCTGCGTGCCACCAGCGCACCGCAAAGACAATGACGACGCCATTATCACAGGCTGCCGAGATGCCTCCCGCTGTGAGTTGCTTTTTCCACATTCCAGAGAAACTGGCCCTGCTGTTCCAGCAAACTCCAGAGTCCGAAGTCTGCCCTACTTGACCTATCTGACCCCCATCCGACCCCCGCCGATGAGATCAATCTTTCCCCTCCCTCTCCCGATCCCACCCCTCCAAGGCTCTCAGCCGGGTCCGCATGCCTCATCGAGCACGCCCGTGGACCACTACCGGGATGATCGCTGTCAGCACCCTATCCTCCCCGTGCGGGGCGGGAAAGAGAAGGATAAAGTGCGGATAGATGAGCAAATCGTGGAATTTTAGGCCCCTCCCTTTCCCGTACACTGCCGAGATCTCCCTATACAGGCTATACTGTGAATACTGAATTCGTTTCTGGTTGCTGACCACCAATGTTACCCTACGGAAATGCTTCAGTGAGTCTGCGCTACTACGCCAAACATGCCACGAGATCACCCGTGCGTGCCGTGCTGCGAGATTGTCGGAGGCTACGGGCGTGTGTCACGTAACTGTCACATCCCGAGGTTCTGGTGCTGCCGCCTAGGCATTTGATTTCTGTCACTTCGTGATTTCGTCTGCTCTTCGGTCATCCACGCGTTCTCTGCTGGACGTACGGAAAAGAAAGAGAATGTTCGCGCTGTGTCCCTCTGTCTTCGACGGTCGACCCTGAATAGCACAGTCGCACAGATTCACGGCCTGGCCGTCGGTCCCCGTCACACCACAGCAGCACAAGAGCAAGACTACTGTGTTCGAACCTTGCGACGCGGAAAGGGACCTCGGCCATTGCTATTGTCTCAGCCGTGCCGTTGTATCCAGTCCCCGAGGCAAAAGACCTTCACGAAATCACCTGCCCGCGCCATCACTCTTGCACTATGATCGATTAATCCCATATCTGGCGGTCAAACTACTAAAGTGCCCCGAACACCGATAGAGGGACAAAACATGACGCACACAAATGGTGAATTTCCTTATCCGAAAGGATCATCTCTAAGTTTATGTCAACGTGTCGTACGCTCGTTTACTAACAGCGGATGTCCCGGCATGGCCAAGTCGATCACAATTTCGAGTGAGCAGAGCACACGTACTGAACGGCCGCGCCGTCGTCTGTAGACCTGGGAAATTCGGATGACTTTTTTGCCATCGTTAATGCATCACTCACACGGTCCACGAACACGACCAAGCGGCGATCCAAGTAAAGCACCAAGGCACCAAAGGCTAGGACCCAAAACCCGTGAGCCTAAATCAGTTCAAATCCGAGCTTCCCTTCCCTGCCGCCTCACTCGTGTGCCCAATATTAGGCTCAGGCCAAAATCATGCTTCCTGGGCCATTACGTTTTCCTGCACATTCTCTGCGTACCTGTCCCAGTCTCAGTCTCATTGTCGGCCAACGTGAGCCTCTAATCCTCGCGCCATGACATTGTTCCCTGGGGATAGCGCTCACTTCTCCCGCTCTAAGGCAGTCATCTCAACAAGGCGTGCCGCTGGTCCGAAAAGACTTCGGGACGGATCATAAGCTGCATACACGGTCATAGGTAGTAACTGTTAGTATTCTACGACACGAGTGAGCGCCATTATCACAAGCAAAACACAAGTCCTTCTTTCGATACATGTGGTCATCGGTCAGATGCCACCGCCCATCACGCGGCGCCCCAACTCCCCCTCTCACACGGCCCCTCTCCCAGAACAACATGCTCCGGCGCCGCGTTCCCGGCAAACGGCACCTGCACCAGCACCGTCGGCTCGTCGCCGGGGAACTCGGTAAAGTGTCCCGCGTGCACGCTCGCGTTCTTCAAGTCCGCCGCGATGACGAGCGACGAGGATACCGTGCCTGGCTGAATGTACGCCGTCCTCTGCGCCGGACGTGTTGATGCCTCGTCGCCACTGCCGCCTCCTGGTGGCGAGAGCGACGGCGTGGCCTGCGACGCGTTCCTTGGCGGTGCTGGCGATGTGATGCGGATTAGGCCGTTGAGGATGACTGTCAGCCTGTGCAAGGTTGGTGGGGATCAAGTCAGTCATGAGTTTTCGATACCGAGAAAAGATTGACGTAAGCTCGCACTTTTCGAGTCCTCTTTGTTCTTTGTCCATCAAATTTCGAAGAGTAGCTCAACAAAAACAAAGAGATGGGAATGAAGCTCGGTCGTCTCATGAACAACGAAATCCCTCCCATACATACACACAGAGAGAGAGGCATGAAATGCAAGAAGAAAAAGGACTCACTGCACAGCCGGCGCCCAGGCCTCTCCCACCGTCGTCCTGGGCTGTATGATGGACCACTCTGCGCGCGCCAGGTCGCCGCCGACGGCGTAGTTGAGAGCCGCGCGGGCTTCGACGGGGACGGAGGTGAGTTGCCAGCATTCGATGACGGAGTAGCCGTCGCGGGTTGAGAGCGCCGTAATATTGAGCGGGGTGAAGGCTTTGACCGCTGTCGTGAGGACTGCGCCCAGGGCTACGAGTCTAGGTATATGCATGGCCCTTCAATCTTTCGGTATCTAATAGTTACTGTGGGTGAAGACGCTGCGTAAGAGAGAAAGTCAAGAAGAAGATGGGAATTGGAGACGACCTCTGAATCTTTCAAGGTTGGTGATGTGGCTTTCGGATGTCCGAGTCCCCTACGGTAGCATGCGTCTTACCGCTCTTCGTGGCGCGCAATGGCTGGGAATCCGTTCCAAGACCTTCCTGCAAGAGGGGATCACTGTGACTGGCTGCGCTTATGAGAAGGTGTCTTGCTTCACCGGCTGGTCTCGAAAATTCACAGCTCACAACTCCCAAGACTGCCGACCAGCCGCCGCGTTCCTGAACATCTCCTTGGGGTAAAGTTTGCAATATCGAACTATTTCCATGCCCAACCTCAATTAACCCCTCATTGTAAGATCTGTAATGACATAGAAAACCAGAATCGTGCTAATATCTCTGCGGGCAGACTTGATCGAAATGTAGAAACTCCAATTTCTCTTATAGTCATGATATCCAGACAAACAGCACTACAATTCAAAAGCCTTGTTACAATATGTCAAACGCCAATCATGAGTCCACACATGGTATAACACCCCCTACACATCACCACTGGGTCTCCATCCACCTCACCATCCTCTCAACAAGCCCGCTCCCAACAACATCCCACCCGTCCCCGACAGCAGCGCTCCTCTGGCCCGTCCTCTCCGTCTCAAACACGAGACCCTGACGACCGGGCCTGTCGTTGTCGTACTTGTCCTCGAAAAAGCCCAACAGCTTGTACGTTGGGTTCTGCTCCGGGTCCGGGTCGGACTCGCGGAGGCGGCGCACCCACTCGCGCTGCGAGACGATCTGGAACTCGAGCCCCGCGTCGCGGAGGGCTCGCAGGAAGTCGAAGGTCCAGTGGAACAGGCGTGGGTTCTGGACCTGATATACGAGGTCTAGGTCGGCGTCGTCGGGAGAGGAGGGTGGTGCGCCGCAGGACGTGCAGCGTGGGCCGGTGAGGCGCGCGAGTTCGAGGACGGCGAGGGCCATTTTGTCGGCTGGCATCCATGAGGGGGTCTGCAGGAGATTCTTGGTTAGCACTTGATTCACTCCTTATGATCTCTCGTCATGTAGTGAGAGTAAAAGCTTACCTCTTCCAGAGCAGGCAGCGCCTTGATGACCTTTGCGCTGCGAATCATCAACGGGATAGCCTCCGTCTGATTCCACACGCCGCCCTCTGAGTCGCCCACAATCTGACCCAATCTCAGAACCCTCGCCGTCATACCCGTCTTGGTCGCCGCAGCCTTGACGATGTGCTCCGTAACGACCTTGGACCGGGCATAGCCCATGTTCTGCGCGTGTTCCAGTTTCTCAACGTACGTCTCCTTCACCCTCGCTGGGATAGGCGTGCCCGCCGCTGCTGAGATAGACGAGCAGAAGAACAACCTTGCGGGCGCGACTGTTTCAGTGCTGAGACAGAAGTTGAGCAGGTTGTGCACGCCGCGAATGTGCTGCGCCTCGAAGCTCGCGACGCCAAGGTTGAAGTTGACGGCCCAGGCCGAGTGGATCACCGTCGTCAGGGACCGGCGGAGCTCGGCGGCGGCGTCGGCGGGAAGGCCTAGGTCAGGAAGGCCGAGGTTCGTCGGCAGGTAGCGCACTTTCGCCTTGTCTGCTTCGGAGAGGCTGAGGCCCTTGGGGGTTAGGGAGGCGAGGACGCGGGATTCGGCTTCTTCGGCGGAGGCGGCGCGTGCGAGGCAGTAAACTGCCTTCACGTAGGGTTGGCGGACGACTTGAGCGAGGAGGTGTGCGCCGAGGGAGCCCGTCGCGCCTGTGAGGACGACGGTCTCACCTTCCGGGGTGATGTTGCCCGGCGTGCGCTCGGAGAAGTCAGAGTATTTTGCAATGAGCGTCTTCATCACCTCGATCTCGTCTTGGGCATCTACAGATTCGCCTGTGCGGAGGGCGTAGACGTGCTTGGACAAGGAGAGGACGTTTGGATACTCGAAGACGACGTTCTGGCCCAGGGTCTTGCCGCCGAGATCGACGCCGCGCTGGATATGGCCGCGCGCGGTACTGGCCTGGAGACTGTCGACGCCGGCCTCGAAGAAGTCGGTGTCCTTTTCGACCTTGGAGAAGCCCAACGTCGAGCTGAAGAGGTTGAGGAGGTAGTCTTGGAGCTGCGGCAGGTCGAGGGTGAGCAGCTCGCCACCGGTGACGTCGTCTTTGGGCGCCTCGAAGCGTCTATAGACGTCCTCGATGAGGTCTGCGAATTGCTTGTAAAAGGCGGCGCGGATGACGGTGCCCTTGTCCGTGCGGGGGTACTCTGTGCCAATGTCTACCACTTCAATCATCTCTAGCGAGACGCGGCCAAAGGCCTCGGCTCGGGCGTTGGCTTCTTCGATGACGGGGCTCAAGGTCTTGAGAATGTCGGGCTTTGACAGGCCCTTTGCGTTCTCGCTGGGGATGATGACGAGGCCGGGGATAGACTTGTCGACGCCGAAGACGACGACTTCTTGGACGAGCTCGTGCTCACGGATGTGGTTCTCGTAGGGGATGGGCAGGACCTTCTCGCCGTTGACCAGGGTTACACGGTCGTCAAGACGGCCTAGGTACCTCCAGGCGTCTAGGATCGTGGGATGAGGAACAAAAGTG